AAATGCGATATCGGACTGGCATGTATTGGAGGAGGCATCATGCTCTGATCATCGGTGGATTCGTTTCAATCTACAGGTACCAATCACAAACCCCGTCCCCAAAAGGTACCCCAAGAAGACTTACAAAAATCTCTACAGCCGTCTAGTGTAAAATAAACTGTGCATGAGCTACGAAAATGGTAGAATTGATACCACGGACCAAATAGAACAACAGGTAAATATGGTTTCCGAATGCATCCTAGGATGATCTGAAGAAGCCTGCCCTCCCAAACTTCTGAAATTAAACGGGTCGGGTAAACACCATTGGTGGGGTCCTGATCTGGAGAGAATAAGAAGCAAGGTGAGGAAAAAGGTTAACTGAGCCATGAACACCCGAAGCGAAACTGACTGGGACGACTACAAAGCTATCAAAGCTAAGTACAAAAAACGAATTAGGTACTGGAAAACAGCATCCTGGCATAGTTTCACTGCGGAGATAAATTCCATTCCAATTCCGAAGACATAGTCTTAGCATTCACTCGTATACTACAGGCGTGTCTAGCTCACCGATACACGCCGCACAGAGTCGATATAGTCGCAGTATACTCGGATTTCCCCGGTTCATACCCAAACCGGGGAAATCCGACTATACTAACCCCAAATTTTTTCGATACATAAACATGCTTACACAACGGGCAAAACTACAGAATCGGCTCTCCATCAACTAGTCGGTAAGATAGAAATGGCCTTTCACAATAAACTCATCTGTCTGGGCACTTTCATTGACATTGAAGGCGCCTTCGATAGAACTAACTTCACCAGCATTGAGGAGGCTCTTAAAAGACATGGAGCTGAGCCACAAGACTGGATTGTGAACATGCTACGCAACAGGATAGTACGACGAACTGTCCAAGGAGGTACAGTAGCTAGGTGTAATTCTAGACAGTAAACAAAATGGAATAGCCACATAGAACAAAAAATCAAGACTGCTAGCCTTGTTTTGTGGTAAGGCCTCAGGATGATCGGGAAGCGCTGGGGAATTGCGCCAAAATTGTTCTTGTGGCTAAACATCACAGTCATAAGACTGATAGTAAGTTATGGTGCCATAGTATGGTGGCCAAAAATTACTCAGTCTATATGTGAAAACAAACTATAAAGCTTCCAGCGGCAGGCATGCTGCGCCCTAACAGGATGCATGAGCACGGCTCCCACGGCAGCTTTGGAGGTAATGTTAAATATTGCAACGCTACACATCTACATTAGACAGGAAGCGGCAAAGACAGCATTGAGACTAAAAAATTTCAAACTGGTAAGGTTTGAGACCACCAAACATTTTAATGGCTTACCGAAGGAATGGCTCATCACTCCACTTGTAGAAGCGGCGTGTGACAGAATCGAACCCACCTTCATTTTCGATAAGAAATACAAGATACATCTTATAGACACTGACAATCCAAAGGTAACTCACAAGGCCCTCCAGTCTTCACGGGTGGCTTTAAAACTGCATCAGGAGCAGGAGCCGGAGTATTCTCCGAGGACCACAACATACATCTCTTCCTGCCTCTTAGCTCATACAATACAGTCTTTCAAGCTGAGTGTATGGCGATTACCATGGCGGCGAAAGCGATAGCAACAAGGAAGGTAACAGTATCAATAATCCGGATCTACTCGGACAGCAAACCCATTTTACAAACTCTCAAAAGCAGCTCTGTCAGATCGAGTCTTCTATATGAGTGTCACCAGGTTCTAAACATGGTACGGTCACAGAATACAATTACTATCCAATGGATAAAAGGACACAGTGGATCACGTAGGAACGATGCAGCTGATGAACTGGCACGCAGGGGATCAGACACAACACCAATGGGCCCCGAGCCAAAAATTGGATATTTGGGTAACTACCTCACGAGCTCACTGAAAGAAACCTAATGACCCGTGTTGAGTACACGGATTTTTATTACGGCATAATAAAACCGAACCATTTTTGAAGAAGCTGATAACTGATGATGAGAAGTGGATCGTGTACGATAAGAACGTGCGCAAAAGGTCGTAGTCAAAGGTCGGTCAGCCTTCACAGACTGTGGTGAAACCCTGGTTAACTAGCACCAAGGTGATGATGTGTGTTTAGCATAACTTTTGAAAGACTAAACGAATATAAATGTGAAGGATGTTATAAGAATCGTTACGTCATACCAAGTAAAAAAGAATTATAAAAAGTTTTGTTGATTTATAGCAATATGGGTATCAAATTAAAGGTCTTGATGAGTACATTCCAAAAATATATACCTTAATACTCGTATATAATTAACTGAAATAAAAATAAATAATTTAAAAACTTGAAGCTTTTTTAGCTCGTTTTTTGTAGTCATGTTTTTTATTTATTCAATTATTTCTTCTTGACGGACGAGCTCGAGATAATAAATTTTAGGTCACCCATCCTATGACCGGCCCATGCGATAGATGCTAAACAACCGTATCGCATACCGAGCATACTTACCACTGCGCCATTGAGCTCCTCCAAACATATTACGTATTTTATATTTGCGTTATAAGTACAAGTATTTCAAATAAGTCACATCTTGTAGGTAGGTAGTGGCCTCATTGCGCTTTGTTTGGGTCATATCGGCCACTTCCTTAGTTATAAAATTACGCAATGCGTCGTTGGCAATTCACTTCATAAGTCAATCAGAAAGTTATATGCCATACACATATGTAGCATACATTAAACGTATACTTTATCAGTGCTATTATTAAACAGGGTTTAGCGTTAGAGTAAGTTTATGCTAAAATTGAAATTTTACACTGATAATTTGCAAACCTACCTTCTAGGAGTAAATAATACTTCTGTAGAACCTCGTACTAGGTTAACCTTTGCTAAGGGCCAGTTTTTTGATCCGTGGTTAACTCAACCATTTGTTAAACACTTTGACAAATGGTTAAATATCAGGAAAATATGTTTTTTGATTAATAGTTAGCCTAACCAATAGGCTAGTTGACAACTTTTTTTTTTATTTCATAAATAAACAGTCTATTAACATCTGAAAAATAATGTCAAAGTAACAGCATGTCTGCAATTAATAGTATCGGAGATACGGTGCTGTGTTTGTAGAACTGCCGCTAGTTGGCCGAAAACGCTCCCTACAAATTCAACCCACTCAGTGACGTCACACGGTGCTACAGTAGCGAAAAATGTATGGGCGTCTGGACAATTTTTGTAATATCTTTGTTATTTGTGCGTTTATGTTTATAACTGTTATAATGAAATTTGTAACATATTTTATATCTAATTTAATGCCTTATGTATTTTAGCAAATTTTTGTAGTAGATTTTCTCTACTTTTTTCAAGTTTTCAGAGCGTAATATTTTCCAAATCAGTGACTTAAAATTTGTTTAGTTAAACATTTATAAGTTCAAATGGTTCATATTTTTCGAAGATATAACAAAAACCTGTATTTTTACTTGTAGGACACAAGCCTATTGTCAAAATTAAAACCATTGGTCAAAAAATTTAACCATCACTGGAAGCTAGGTTAAGTAAATGACCAATGTACAACTGCGTTGTATTTACATGGTCCCTTGTTATTATTTTTTACGTTGTTTTTATAACCTACATGATTTCATAGTGAATTTGGACATTAGCTATTTTTGGGATTTTGTTTGATGATGCAATTTCATAGGAAAATATTCATTGTGATTTTGTGTTATAGGGTTATTGAAAATAAGTTACATTTTTATCTTGATCATCCTTAGTATATTTGTACTATAAAAAATATTTTTTCTTGTGTCCACGGACATATGCCATTTTATTCAATTAGTAAAAATCTTATAAAATCCACGAATAGACAATACAAAAGGTAAATATGCCTACAGTATATAAAATACATAGACCTCGATTTATTTTCTAACATCACAATCCCACCTTGGATACTATATTCTTTTCACGTATTTCTCTATAAGATAAATAAAAAACAAATATATCCTTTTTATAAAAAAGTTAAGTTGAAAATAACTGGAAAAAAATATCTTTGTTGCTTTCTAACATTATTAAAGAAATTGCCTTATATTTACTGAAAAATAACACATAGTGCACACAACAGAACAACCATAAACATCCACACTGTTTGATAATCTATAGATTTCTTTCGTCTATTTGTTATTTGGAACAAAATCCTAATGTCAAAAATGGTATATAGTTCGCTCTGTTCATTCAAACCGTTAGTGTTGTTACCCAGAAAAAAATTACCCTACTTACCCTACTACTTATAGCGAAAAAACGACTCATTGTGCTGGCAACAAATTGGCCAGTGGTTAAATTTGGCATCAAAAAACGAAATAGCGAGTTAACAACTTGTTAATGTTTTTTACTATATTCAAGTTAACAAATGGTGAAATGACATTTGACTACGGATTAAAAAACTGGGCCTAAGTCTCCAATTAATAATATGAATTTTTACTAATACTAAGTGCAGTCTCAGAGTAAATTTACTCCAACGCTTAGCCTTGTTTATAAATAACACTGTACATAACTACGGCTTGTGTAATCATGGAAATGAAACTATGTATAGAATTAAACAACTTATATTTAATAAAACATTTAAAATATTTGTATATTTCCATCTAATTTTACAAAAAAAATAAAGATTTAATATCAATAAATAAAAATATTTATTCATATATACTTCATAAAAAAAAATGTCAGCTTGTTTTTTCAAATGCTACCGACTTACACATAGCTTAAAGTTTGACGTTATTTAAAAAATATGCCTGGCTTTTGTTAGCTTTACTATAAACATTCAAAATAATTAGGCTTATTGAAAATACAAAATTTAAAATATATGTTATGTACTCGTAGTATCCTAAAATACTATCCTAAAATAATTGACATCCACCATGCTCCAATGAGTATAATCAGCTTTTAGTTAGTACCTGTAGCATAATTAACTGTTACTTGTTAGGCACTAGTTAGCTAATATAAAATACATCAATCGACTTTGTGTCTCTGGGGCTCCAATTCCCATGGCAATTTATTTTTATGTTTCCACGGGGAACTGAGTACTTACCGAGATGGTATATTAAATTATTGTAGACGAAGATATGGATTGCATTTACGTTCCCATAGCATTGAATGTATCTTTATCGTTGTTAGGTAAAACATAAAATCATTTAACACCCACTTCGTCACATACGACCTTTTTAGCGCCCATGGCTTTTTGTATATCCGAGAAAGACTTCCCTTTCGTTTCTGGTACGAGAAATATAACAAATAAACAGAGAAGTAGACAGCTGATGCCGAATGACCAGTATGTAGCTGCCGGCCCTATTGTCGACATGAGGGAGGCGAAGTATCTGGTGGTGATGAAGATGGATATCATATTTGTCGTCAAGCCTATAGAGAGACCGAAGGCTCTTGCTGAATTATCAAACAGTTCAGCTGTTAGCGCCCAAATTATGGAACCAGGTCCTGTAAAAGAAATATAATATATTTCGTAAAAGAAGCAGAGAAAGTTATTGTGAGCTTCGAATTCAATGGCAAAATTAAAATTTAGAAAACACCGTTCTTGATTTTTATTTATAGGTATACAACTATTCATCTAGTTAAATAGTTCTAACCAAGCCAGGCGAAACATTAGCGCCAGCTTAATTAAATTTGGGGCCCTAGGCAAAATATTGGAACGACGCTCATAAAAATATCAGTTTTGTCATTCGTTCATCTGGCATTCTTCTAGACGGAGTTTTCGGAGTCTTCATGTTTTTGTTGATTGTTACACCTACGCTACCTTTCAGGTTAACTCTTTATTATCTCTTCATTACGAATTCGATCTGCGATCGTTAATCTGCAAATTCTAAGTAACAAACGCTTCTCGACCGGATTTATTATGTACTCTTTCTGAGATACTCTACTCAACGGAAAAGTAATCATACCACTAGTCTTCATAAATTTGCTCTACGTGCGGGATGCAGCTAGTACTATCCACTTCGATACTAAATAAACCCAATCCGCACGGGGCGGAGCAGGCCTGGCTGTATGTAACTCACGCTTTAATAATAATGTTGTTACTTACCCGCGCTGTAGCAAAAGACGATTAAAATAAGAGACATCAAAGGCAGAAAGTTCATGAAGCCAGCGACTGATTTGGTACTTGATGTGACATAAAAGAAACTGCCAAGTCCGATCTGAAAATCGCAGAAATGTGCAATGTAAATCATCTACATTTATAAAATAAGATCTTTGTCCATATGGTGTCTAAACTAAAATATTTCACCTACGGGAAGCAACATTATACGAGGTTGACACACACCATCGAATTTACTAATTCGAAAACAACTAAAAGATAATATGATTGTTACAGAATATAATGCAATTATTTTTGCAGCCATTAGGACTAAGAGCATAATTCCACATTAGTAATCAGATAACAGTGTTGGTTAAACAATTACATAACACAGTAAATTGTAAACTTCTTAAACAATCTCATGTAGGCACACATAGAATTGTTTGCTTTTGAAATAAAAAAAACCAACATTGTCCAGTTGTTGAACATTATACAAAACTGTAAAAATGCCACAATTTTCAACCTTAAATTATTGGAATAGATACCAAAATCCAAATATGATTTTTAGTGATTTCCTGCCGTGCAGCCGTGTACACAATGTTTTTGAATAACGTAATACCTGTCAAATAGAATTCTCGCATAATCTAATGATCAACAAGGAGTCTGTTCTTTTCGAGAAATGAACAATATATCTAACAATATATCTATATGATTGGGGTTGCCAGATGGTCGGGGTTGGACTGGACTGTCGAAACGAAATTTAAAATAATGGATTAAATCATTGGATGGGCTAATGGCAAGAGATCCACGGTGGGCAACAGCCGGCCCGGGAGCATTTTAAAAAACCTAATTTATAATAGTCGTATTATTTCATGTTTGATATCTATCGCAAAAATCTATAAGCACTACAACCAATGAATTATATAAAAATATATCATTGAAACACTACTTTAAAATGTACTACTATTAAACGCAGCCCGTGAACTTATTTGCACACTAAAGCCACAGCCCACAACATATCCAAGGTTGCCATACCTGATCTAATTATTCCGATGAACTCCTTTAATCTGCCCATATAGCAACCCTATCCATGATTTTTTCTTAATTAAAAACTTTTTTAGAAAAATAGAGCCCACCTCAAACTTTAAAAAAGTGATAAATAATACTTATATCAAAAGCGACTTCTTCAAGAAAATGTTAAGTCGGGCGGAGGTCTTCTGTCGGTTTATTAAAAAAATGATAGGTTATGTTAGGTTACACTTCAATAGCATTTTCTTGAATAGACTTTGAGATAAGTATTATTTATTACTATTTAAAGTTTAAAATCGGTACCATTTTTTTATTTATTTTTATTTTATGCTTTTTATTTCGGTAATATTTATATTTTTTATATAATAGGTAACATTAAAAATATTGAGTACTAGCTTTCCACCAGCGGCTATGCCCGCGTGGAAACTGTTTATTTATTTTTCCCTAGGAAACTATTCATATCACGATGATACAGATATAATTTGATTGCTTGTTTGTTTGCGTTGGATAGGCTACGAAACTATTGGACTGATTTATAAAAGCCTTTCATCTACGGGACGCTACATAATACGCGGACATAGGCTCTAATTTTCGCAGGCGAAGTCGCGGGGAAACAGCTAGTTTCATAGAAATTGGTTCACATTCAAGAAGAAATCGATCGACATACCTACTTTTATAAAAAAATATACATACTCCTAGAAAATGAATTCAAAATACGCAATTTTTTTTTATTAGCTGAGATACATGAAATACAATACTTATCATCTAAATAAATTTAGGTGATATATGCTAAAAAGCGTATTTTGTTTTGTAATAAAAGGAAAACTAATGATTCGGTTTAAATGGAATCATTGAGCTGTCGATTAAAAGAACAATTTTAAAATCGGTCAATAATTGGCGGAAATATCGGTGATCATACGTAAAAAAATACACAAACGTCGAACATATAACTTCCTCCTTTTGGATTTTGAAGTAGGTTAAAATGCCGCCACACTTACCATTCCCAACATCTGCCCGATCAAGAAAATCGAAAAAATAGGTTTTCTTCCAAACTTGTCTGTTATAAACGTTGCGATCACACTCGCAGTGAGCTGTATACAACCAATGATGAGTGAAGCTATTTCTGGTTTTATGCTTGTCTGCGTAGATTCGAGAACCGTTTGTAGATAGTAGGAAACAGTGTTGAAACCTATTAACTGAACACCAACGAAGAGGATAGTGACAAGAGTCAAGGATTTTAAGAACAATCTGTTTTTGACGAGTTGCAGTTTATTGGCATCATCAACTTTATTCTCTGAGGCGTACTCTTTGAGTTCCAAATTTGCAGCTGCTTTGGAACCACGCAAAAACTCGAGTACTGCCAGCGCTTCAGCGGAGCGTCCTAAAAACAAAATTAAATGCTATACTTGGTTTAACTCCTGGATTACGATCTATGTAAGATTTTCTTAGTATGTGATACTTGATGAATTATCAAACCGTCTCATCTGTTTGCAAATTCGATACCGAGAAGACTGACCGGCTTTGTGGTCATTTAAAAATTCTCTTTTAGCCGAATCAAAAAGCTATCAATCAGGGATTAACTAGTAGCAGCGACCGATCATTAAATGTTGAAACTTACCATTCGAATACAAGAAATACGGGCTGTCCGGTAGAAATATCAAGGGCACGGCGCTAACCACTACCGCAGCGGTGAGAAGAATATTTACAGCCAAATAAGAGATGAAAGGTCCCACGCTCAGCATCACTACTATCCCTAAGGAGCACATGATCTGGAGTATTGTACCTAAAGAGCCCCTTACATCTGTCTGCAAAACAGATTATAATTATGAAGACATCTTTACAAATATTAGTTGAATAAAGATATTAAAGGCTATATCAAGATATTATCTCGACGTTTCACGATTTGTATTTATCTAAAAACAAGATTAGGTACTTTAACAACTAGATAAACGATAACGGTAAGGAATTAAAGAAAATTAAATTTATTTTAGAAATAATATTTAATTTTCCATTTAATAACCTTTCTCAAAAAACTGGCCGTGTATGAGTCGGACTCCCGTACGAAGGATTCCGTACTAATAACTATAAAAACGCAAAAAATCACGTTTGCTGTTTTCAATGGAGTTAATTTAAATTTTCGAGTAAAATACAATTAGTCGATTATTACTCGTAAACGCATAAAGCCGTACGTTTACGGAAGGGTACTACCGGCGTGACGTTCCAATTTCTAAAAACAACCGTTTACGTGGTAGAGGGAGGGGACACTTGACTCTATCGAAAATTGGCGCTCTGAAGAATAAGGCACGAACGGTTTATTAAATCGAAGATCGGTTTTCCCACACCCCCAATACAGTATTTTGGAGACCATGCTATGGGAAGACGAAATTATTATCTCCTAGCTTTATATTATTCTATTCTATTAATTATTATTCTGTAAGAGAGGTAAGTACCTTCAAACTTTTCAGCATGATTAACATGTACCTAGGTATATTAATTACAATTTTATGGCACTAATAGTTTTTGAATTAAACAGAGGGCCGGTCAGACAGACGCAGGTGGAGAAACTATAAGGGTTGACTACGGAACCCTAAAAAGTGACCATTACTTTGGAATTTACAAAAGTTTTAACCTTTGTATTGTGTGTAGGTACACTCTAAATATTGACTAAGTAAATCGTCGTAATAAACAATGATTGCCTACAGAATAACGTTAAGAATAACGAAATTCATACTTTTAGATAAGACAGTTTGCAATAATAATCCACAGACAGTCATAAAGTGTATTTTAGGTATACGTTAAGAAAATTAGACAAATTAAAAACTCACACTAGCAACTTCCGAGGCGTACATAGGTACAACAGTGAATATAAAAGCATCTGACATCCCATTAAGTGCTCTGCCCAGGAATAACATCCAGACTTTAGAAGCAAACAGCAAGAATAGTGCTGACATGATTTTTGGGATGATTCCGATGAGTATGCAGTACTTGCGTCCGATGCGATCGAGTATGAGACCCGGTATGAAGTTGCCTGAAGGGAAAAGGAATAAATTATTAAATTGGGCCTTCAGACTGACACTGCAATGCCTTTACATGCACGCAGTTTAGGTACACGACAAAACTATTTGCAAGAATAATTTCTGTGCCACATAGATTGAGGTGAATTACACCTTAGTGAATTCGGCTTCGGATTTTTATGGAATCGCTCTGCTGACCACTTTTGTTCACATGTTTTCGAATTACATAACAAAATATTGATGCAATAAACATCAATTCGTTACTGAACGGATAATGGATTGATGTACAACAGGACATCCGCCAGTGAAAGCAGATAGTAATTGCCTTGGCAGTTGTACGATTACCAACCAATGGCCTAATTATCTATTACAATCACATTAAATTTGACTTTTGAAAGATAAACCTCACGCGACAACTATTTGAGATCTGCCCTGCGATTCTGTAAAACTTCGGACCCGATTTCGAATCCACTCGGGTGTCCGAATTCACTTCAAAAAGCGGCATCCGCTCAAACTTGAATTGGTGATAATGTTTCGTGAAATAAGTTAAGTGAGTTTCGAAATGATATAGGATTAAAATATCTCAGACACGTTTAATCAGTCAATTTTGTTTAGTATTTTTATACAAAAAATGGAATCAATAGGATTTCTTTACTAAATGACTAGAATTCGGACACATGAGTGAATTCGAATTCGGATCTGGATTGTTACAGAATCGCAGGGCCGATAGCAACTGCGATCTTGATTTTTAGAGATATTGAATGAATGATAACGTTTATTTGACGTTAATCGGAATTGTCTAAGCGAAGTGATGGTTACAAATATCTTTTAGAGCCACAGTACAGTAAATCAATGCCGATAAATGATAACTTACAGAATACTCCAGTGAGAAACCCAATGGATACTATCCATGATCCCTCCTCCTCGGTGATGGGTTTATCCAGTACCGGACTGTCGACATCTCTCAATTTCACGAGGACTGGAGAAGGCCATGATAAGCCCAGGCCACAGCTAAACAAGCTCAGGTTCACTAGAACAAACCGAAAGACAAAAAATTAATAATAAAGTGAATGAAATGATATGGATAATCCTTTTTTCGTGAGGAAGATATTATCATTTTCAGCCTATTATTGTTACCAGGCCTTTCATATGAGTAGATTAGAGTGGATTAAAACGTTAGCCGGGAGTGCTGCCATAACGTACTTTCCGAAGCTCGGAGGGAATTTTTAATCACCCAGTCTATGAGTGAGTAGCTCGGTGGCGTAGTGGATAAGCGCCGCGGCCCACGATCGTAGTCGTTAAGCAACTTTCGCAAGGGTCGGTCACGGGATGGGTGACCAAAAAATTATTATCTCGGGCTACTTTGTGCTTCGGAAGGCACGTTAATCCGTTTGTCCCGGCTGCATTTGCAGTCGTTAATACCCTCCAATTCGCATTGGGCCAGCGTGGAGGGTCATGGCCCATCCTCCTTAACCATCCATAAGGAAGGCCTGAGCCCCTGCAGTGGGGACGTAAAAGGGCTGGTGATGAATCTATGACCGGCTCTTAAGCCGGTTGCCTAAGTTGCTTAACTTTCGCATCTCACACCGACCTGCGCCATCGAGCTGTTTCATGTATACAAAATAATATCTCCACGTATAACTAGATTAAGTATTGCATTATTATTAACCCAAACTTATCAAATTGTGATGTTGACGGTGTGTGTGATAGCCTCACGTATATAGACATTTACACTAGTCGATAGGGTTCGCATGCGGGTTGTGGATGATTTTGCTGATGAGTCGTCATTTCATTAGTCGATAAACCAAAGGACGGTCAATAGAAGATCGATAAATATGAGTCACAGAAATATCCCACATTCCGCAAATTTTCGAGCTTAGCATTGTCACAGCATAGAATTTTAATGAAATAATACCTTTACTGCCTTTTAAAGTAGGTTAATTGAATTGAAATGAACTATGATTTTATTCAACTGATAACATATAAATTTTTTTTTTTTTTAATTTTGTGAATTGCCTTTTTTGGACTTGAATCGTTCGAAATCCGGACGATTGCTCTAACCATTGAGCTACCCTAAAGAGTTACTTGAGTATAAGTATTAAGCTTAACAATTTTTTTTCATCAATAGACAAGAATTTGATTTAAATAAGAACTGTTGATGGCTAATTATAAAAGCGTTCTAACTTTAGAGAACACTTTCTTCATTCAAATTCTAGTTTATTTGGTAAAAATATTTGCTTAGGTTATTAGTTATACTCAAGTAATTTACTTCTACTCGACTACAGATACGCGTGTAAGTCTATAGTGCAATGTTCAGATAACCTAAGTAACTAAAGAATTTGACTAATGGAAATCGGGATAATATGGAAAAGTTCCTTTTCTGAATTGACCGGACGGGGATTGGGACCCGGGACTTCAGAGACGGCGACTCTTCTAAACAGATTCGACTATGGAAGTTTTAAAAATATTTATATTACGAGCGCATAAAACAGTAGAAAAGTTGTTTTACTAATTGTAACTGATAGTCATTTATTTCTCTCCATTAAGAGGTTGTCTGGTAGAGATCGCTGTAAACGATAAGATACACTGTAATATTAATATTCGTGCACAAAATTTTTGCAGCCCTGTTGACAGTAAAAAATATTCTATTCTTATTTTATTTTACTACCTTACTATTATATTTTATTTAAGTAGTGAAGTGAATTCCGCCATTCCACTTAATATTATTTTTTTATCACTAAAGTAGTATATAATAATTTGTAGATGAATCTACTTTTAACCGGTAAATTATGTGTGTAACATATAGGATTGCCAGATTTTTTTTTTCAGCTTGTAAGGGACAAACGATTAAAGAGGGGGGGGGGGGGGAATACGGGATTTTCATATTTTAACCGGGATAAATAAAAAAAAAGAATACTAATATAAAAAAGAATACTAATATATTTTTTCGGGTCTATATTAACGACTGATGCGCACGTGGACGAACACGTGAACCACCGAGTTAACACAGCATGGATGAAGTGGCGATCCTTGTCAGGTATACTGTGTGATACACGAATGCCGGTAAAAACGAAAGGCAAGATCTACAAAACCGGAGTAAGGCCTGCTATGATGTATGGTGCGGAATGCTGGACTGCCCTAAAGAAGCACGAACAACAGTTGCATACAGCAGAAATTAAGATGCTGAGATGGGCGGGTGGTATGACGCGATTAGACAAGGTTCGCAACGAGCACACAGCCGAAAGTTTCAAGTTAGGTTATATGCAAAGTTCATTTTATTTGACAAATATTTCAAAATAGAGGAGGTGTAAAAATGGAGTAAAAAATTTAAATTTCAATGTGTTGAGAGCCCTATAACGCGCATGCGCAATATCGATTGTTCGCAGATAACAATGGACCGCGAAATACATTAATTTTATTTAATTATGTATTTACCGATTATGTCATATGGCATTCTGATGATGCCTTATCCATTTTTTTGTCAAAATATTGAAGTTTTATGAGTGTTTCTGGTAATTTATGGCATTAAAAAATATTACTCATAAAATTCCGAAGTAATGTGCGGCACCGTGGTGAGAAATAAGAGTTTTATATATGTATATTTTTTGTTATCTAATTTGTGATTACCCTAATTTGCTTTGTTTTGATTAAAGATCGTTGCTTCTTCCTTGAACACCACCTTAATACAATAATATGATTTTTTTTTGCATGCGCAAACTGAACTTGTTTTATTTGTTATACTTATTATTTTTGTTTATATTTTGCAACTAACCAATACAACTAAGCATGCACTAGTCGATAAATCAATAACAGTCAATGATCAACTAAAGAAAATAAGTAGGTAAAGAAATCGTCCGCATTCCGCATGCGGGCCCTATCGACCAACGTAACTGAGCTTCACTAGTCGATAAACCAAATAAGACTCAATGATCGATTAATAAAAATAAGCACACAAATCGTCCGCACTCCGCATGCGGACCCTATAGATCAATGTATTTGAGTTTGCACTAGTCAATAAACCAATAATAGTCAATGACTCACTGATGCAAATAAGCGCAAAATCATCGGCATTTCGTTAATGTGTGAATAAATACTTAACAATAAGTAAAAACCTTTATCTACCGTTTCGGTATTTTCATTCAGTTATTAACGGGTCGTTTACCCTTCGGTTGTTTACCCTAACCGAAACGAATTACCGAAATAAACCCGGGTTAATACGAGTACGAGTAGCTCGGTGGCGTAGTGGATAAGCGCCGCGGCCCGCGATTGTAGTCGTTAAGCGTGGTTAAGGTCGTGGCTGCATTTGCAGTCGTTAATACCCTCCAATCCGCATTGGGCCAGCGTGGAGGGTCATGGCCCATCCTCCTTAAACATCCAGCGGCGCCCGTGTGCATTGCACCCCCTGCACCATGGGTAAAGACGGGCCTGAATAAGAGTAACAGTTTTAATTGATAACTCTTTTAATTGGGCTTAGACTGTATACTGTTAACGCATTCATTTCGGTTTAAAACTGAAACACTTTTAATCTGTTAACCGAAACAATCTGTAACCGTTCAAACGGTAAGCTAATGAATCGGTAACCGGTAACCCGTTATCCGTTCCCTGTTTTTCTTAAGCTTGTTTAGAAGTGATTTCTTTGTACACACTGTTGCACGTCGGGTTACCACAATATGTCAAATTTCAGCAATTTATTTAGAACTCTCCACAAATTCAGTTTTAAGGTACAAAATAAAGTGGAGAATTTTTACAGATTTGTAGAACTTGACGTGCTGTTGATTGTACAAAATTAATTGAATGTTAGTCAATGATTTATTTTAGTGATATTTTTTTTTATTCGTTTACTTACATAAACTTAACATTTAACAGGTACCTACTTAGACGTTCTGTCAGATTGTTTAGATTGCAGGCTCTTTTATTCCGTAGTCGTCGGGGTACTTTATTTATAGACACCTACATATTACTAAAAAATATATGACTCCAAGCGAGATTCTAACTAAATTTCGTCCGTTGCAAGGCAGTTTTTAGAATATCAAAACTAACTTAATATATATTAAAGCCAAATAACAATACATCTATGTGATTGCAACGTTGATCAAATATTACTGAATTTCTCAAAAAATCTTACTCAACAATTTTTTTATGATTGCTATCAAAATAATAGATAAGTATATAAACTGTGACCTACGCGGTTAGGTACGTACGCGTAATAATAGTTATTTCAGTAATCGTGATTTAAACCATGATGAGAGATCATCCATCACCACTTTATTATAGAAGTCCTTACCTAAAATCACCACAACATATTGTCTCACTAACGGTCCACCGAAAAAGTTCTGAACCATCATCTTATTACAAACGAGAAACAAAAACAAAAACAAAAACGTTCTCTTTTTAAATTTCGACACTTAAATACATGACAGTACGCTTACACTTCTTTACCAACACTGTTATAGTCAGCCAGCCAGTTATCCAATACAAAGGTTTTGTTCATAAAATTTTGCTGTTTACCACGTCTAAAATGTGCAATTTTCAATTCTAAGTTCTAGAGAACACAGTTGTTTTCTTATTAGCTAACGATAAAATATTGAAAGTCCATTGTAGGGTAGGAGTTACCAAATTTTACTGTGTTGAAAGATAAAGTAATGTTTGTTATGGTGATCCATTGCTTTGCCAGTTATATGACAAATTGTGACACGCGATTGTAAAACGCAATGAAGCTTGTTTTTAGCGAATCTGCACTTAAGAACAGATAACCTTTTTATTGTGAAATCAAAGGTTTGATGAATGGTACCAATGCCAGTTACTTTTAGTACTTACTTATTACTCAGGCATATTTTCGATAAATGGGACGTTAGTGTATTACAAAATCTAAAGGTGAAGTAGTTAATCTGAATACTTTTACTATAGTAGTTTAATTAAAGTTAAGACTTTATAGGTATGCACATAAGAAAATCTATGGGGAACATACAACATTTCATATTTATTTATTTATATATATTCACCACTAATATAAACATAGATATTTCTCATTCACATAAAGAGTTCATCATCATAGATTTTTGGCAATTAAAAAAAGACTAATAAAAGACAATATACATAAATTGATAATACTCTCTGCTCGAATAATTTTCTGAATTTGTTTCAATATTTTTTTTTTAAGATTTGATAATTAGAAAATGTATATAAATAAATTTGCCATACTGGTGACCCATACCATTGAATTTCCTAAAAAATGTACTTATTCTTTAATTTACGCATTGCTGATCTTATATTTCATATTTTCGTTTCAATGTAATTGAAAACTATTTTATTATCTTATTATTTAATAAATAATCCTAAGAAATATAAACTCCTTTATTTATTAATGGGTTTAAAATGTCTGACAAATATGAACCAACCTTCAATAAGCTATTGTAGTGTACTTACATATAAAATTAATATATAATGCATAAGATAAAAATATTTGTTATGTAAACATTATAATTATCCTGTCTTCGCCCTTCGAGATTTAATCTTTGACCATGTAGTAGCCCTGCTACGCGCTAAGCCTATCGCTTAAGCTTTAAAGTCAGAGAAAGAAAACCGCTGTTTCTGTCTCTGTCTTATGCCGCCCAGCGACTCCACCGCAGAGCCGACCTCATTCTTGTCCGTGCGCGCGCAGCGTTCGCAACAAGTGAATTAAATATCTTTTTTAATCAAGTGAAAAATTACAGGTTCTTTTATTACGGTTATATCGGTATACTTAGTAATTGTAAAATATTATCATGCCAAAAAGAAAATACAGGGAAACTAAATATGACAGATGGTCAAGGAAGATTAAGATATACGAGGAAAAGCTGAATTCGGAAAAACGTAGTGCAAGCCGTAGGTGTATTATATACTCAGACGATGAAGAGGATGCTGTGCAACATGCAGGTGGATAGCAGTTTATAACATGCTTATTTTATATTCCCGTTGCATTCATCGGGAATATTCTTTTTTTTTTGCTGTTGTATCATTCGGCCATTACTTCAATATCTTTTCTCGTTGCATTCAATGAGTAAACAATTTGATCGTATTTTCTAAGTATATGAAGGTGAAAGAGGAAAAGGTTAGTATTTCGTCATTAAGAAAATTTCTTTAAAGTATTATTCATGTACCCTCCAATTTTTGAACATTTCAAAACCGATTTGGGTACATATACAGAACATTCGACATCATTAGAGTATGTATTGGACGATAATATTCCAAATATTGCCCCAAACCCGGACACCTACACCAACGCACGGTGCCCGGAGAATAACAAATAAATATTACCCGCCGACATTTTCGGCCCCGACCTTATCCGACAACTTGGGGACATGCAAGCGGATCCTGTCGCATATGGTGAGGACATACAGATGGATGTAGCTTCCAGGTTTCAGACTATATTACAAAGCGGCTTCAAGAAAAAACATAAAGACGATCTCCTAAAAAAAATATTTTTCCCAAAAATGTACCTTTAGCCAAAGGTCCCACTCTTAACCCGGAAGTAGGTGCTATTTTGGTGGAGAACTGTAGAATAACAGTTCAGAGGTTGCTTACTAAACAGGACCAACTCGGGAAAACACTTTCGGCATTAGGAAAAGCACTATGGTGTCTTTTGAAGATGAATCCAGATATCCCAGAGGTTATTCGCACGTTGAACGATGCAGGCAAGTTATAAGCTGACACTTACTGTGCCGAAACGGATTCCCGTCGATCTGTTATTATCCCATTGCTAGACAAATCATTGTCAGATTCATTCAAAAACAGAAAAATATATAGTTTACTGTTTGGAGAGAACCTCTGACAGTTAGTCAAGGATTCGAGAAGTATTAAGAAGACAACCAACGATGGCATATCATCAAGGCAACCGCCGGAGGACAGCTGCGTTCGTGCCGCTGCCAGCTTGATGCCAGCCAGCCCTGCCGCCGCTGCCGCCACAAACGAGGCGCCCGGGAGCAACGTCACAACGAGCAACGAACAATCGTGCCAATTAGGTACGCAGCGCCAGGTATATGCCGGCTGCTTAAAGTATTTCCTTAACGAATGGCAGACAATAACTAGTGATATTTTTATACTCGAAGTTGTGTCAGGTTACAAGATTCCTTTTATTGAGAAACCTTGTCAAAATCCAAAAGACCATCGGCAACGATCATTTTCGACGAAAGAATCAAAAGCAATTTCTGCGGAATAAAATCGTTTATTACAGATAAATGCTGTTAGGAAATGTAACCCGACAACATGATAATTAATTCCTGATATTTTTATGATTCAAGATCCAAAAGCTGATTTTAGCATGCGTTTTATTTTAAATCTAAAGAAGTTAAATAAATATGTTGAAGTATCTCATTTTAATATGGAACATATCAAATTGGCTACTAAACTTATGACCAAAGACATGATCAATATTGATATTAAGGAAGCATGTTTTTTATTGCCAATTACAAATCACATACACGATTTTACGCTTTAATTTTAATAATATCTTGTATGAGTTTCTGGCACTTCTGTTGGTACTGTGTTCAGCGTCGTATAATTTTACAAAAATATGACAACCTGTCATGACTTATCTTAGATCAAGTGGCCTGCTATCAGTAAAATATTTAGATGATATATTGTGCTTGGGAAGTTCTGCTGAAGACTGCCTAGTAAACGCAAATAGAACAATTCAGTGTTTAACACGGTTTCGATTTGTTATTAACTTAAAAAAAAAAACATTTAATTCTTAAAAGCATTGTAATTTTTTTTGGTTTTATTTTAAACTCGAATACAATGACTTTAGAATTGCCAAAAAAATTACATATAAAAAAATATAGAAATGTAACAGAATCCGAACCTGTTATTTCGCTCGATTTTCTAGGCTGCTTTACTGCAGTATATATTGCTATAGTATAGAGGTGGTTACATACAAAGTCTCTCGAACGAACTTAATATTTGGCATTGCTTAGAAGCAATAAAAACTATGATGCTTATATGACAGTTACAGATAAATTATATGGTGGCAGAACAGCATTCTATTTGCCGTCAATTCAATTAAACAACGTCATTATGACTTAGAAATCTTTACGGACGTATCAACAACAGGTTGGGGTGCAGTTTGTAGTAATGTAAAATGCTGGTAGTCATTGGACCACCGCTGAGCGCACCAATCATTATCTGGAACTATTCGCTGTTTATTTCGGCTAAATTTCATTCAATAAAGAGTAACTGTGATATTCTTTTACGTGTCGATAACACAACTGCTATTTCCTATACTTATAAATAAAATGGGGGGAAACCAATACCAACATTTAAATCTAGTGACTAATATAATTGGGGACTGGTTTGAGAAAAGAAATATATTCGTTTTTGCACCATATATTCGTTCCTCATTGAATAAAGAAGCTGATAGCGAATCTAGGAAAATGAACATCGAAACAGAGTGACTGTTGGGTCCTCGACAATTTGAAAAAAATAAAAATATGTTTGGTGAACCATCTATCGACTTATTTGCATCACGAATTAATGCAAAATGTCCTGTATATATTTCATGGAAAAGGGATCCCTTTGCCTATGATTTAGACGCGTTTACAGTAGATTGGTTGCAATTTTATTTTTACTGTTTTCTCCCGTCGTTTGCGTTAATTAAACAAACATTAAATAAAGTAGTTACCGATTAAGCCACCGATATTATAATTGTTCCACTATGGGGCTCTCAACCGTGGTACCCCCTCTTTATGCCCCTACACGTTTTTGAAACTGTAGTATTTCCTCCAAGTAAAAACATTGACAAGGTGTGCCAGAAACAGCTTTAGAAGTAATGTTTTCTTCGATATCACATAACACCAGATCAGAACATAGTTGTAGTCTAAAGGTTCGGTGGCAATTTTATAACAATAATAATAATACTGATTTTTATAATGTAAATATAATATAAAGGCAGATTTAAACAGGATCAGTAGCTGACGTCAGGGATGGCGCCGAAAACTGACTCACACTATTTACACGCAGTCAGCAGTTCGTCTGTAGTCAAGGATATTTCTCTTGATGTACACACGTTTGTAAAGTCAGTGCGGAAAAATGAATTCTCGAAAACAGTAAAAAAATATATTTTTTAACTCGGTAGAGAAACCCTACTACATTCATTTCTCGTGCAATATTCTGTAATGCTGTTGCACGCATTTCTTTATTTCTGTAATTATGTGATTTACTATCCCGCAGACATTCATTGTCGCGGTATAATTGAATAAGCCTTTAGTTTTCCGTGTCCTCGGCTTTCGCGTCATTTTGTGATGCGGTGCGACGCCGCGTGGTCACCACACAATAGAGTGGCAGCGACTGACTTCGGCATTTTCACAGCTTCAGTTGCACTGGCGCGGGTGGCGGGGGGAGCGGACTGACGCCAAAAATATGAAGCGGGGATATTGAAGTCAGTGCTGACGCACAGCGACAGTACTGAACTGACTTGAAATCAATTTACACGATGGCAGTGCCAGGTCAGCACTGACTCGGCAGTTGACTGACGTTAGTTACTGACTTAATGTAAAATTGCCTTTTTTTAAAGGTATCGTCAGGTTAAATCCCACATTTACAATTTTACATGGAACTCTAGCTTAGTATTAGATTATTTACACGGGTTTGAAAATTACTCAATCCATTTAGAGAAATTGAGTAAAAAGTTAGTTATACTTTTAGCACTAGCAACTGGACAGACAGCATAAACGATTTCTTTTATAAAAATACCAAACATAAAAACTTATGACGAGCGTGTGGTCATAACAATTATAAATTCAAATAAAACTTTCGTTATTGGCAAAGCCCAACCGATTTTTAATTTACCTTTTTTTTTAGACAACGTCCCAGTATTTGTCCAGCATTGATAGTATTGAAATATATTACCGTGTCATCCTCAATACGCTCTTAATCAGAAAATTCCTTGATTCAGACATACAAAAAACCTCACAGGCCTGCTTCATCTCGGACGATAGAGCGCTGGATAAGTAGACTATGTGTATTAGTGGAATCGATACCACTATGTTCAGGGCTCACAGCACGAGACACGCATCAACATCTGCGGCATCTCGTGCGGGTCTCAGTGTCAATATAATTAGTCTTTGCAAACTTTAATAACAGGCCAATGATTAATTCAGGAACTGATTTTATTGAATCTCTGTCCCCAATATTATAATTAGTTAAGAACATGGACGGCTTATTTTGTTATTTTTGTAATATTTATAAATAACGTTGCAAATCGTTTACAGAAATATGCATTTTTGATTTACTACCTACTGTTATTTATTCTCAACATTGATTCGATCTTGATTATCCTGTCTTCGCCGAAGAGATTTAAAGTCCCTCCCTCCCTAAGTAATACTTCTCCCTTAATATCAATGTTAATATGAATGAGGTCGGCTCGGCGGTGGAGTCGCTGGGCGGATTAAAACAGAGACAGAAACAGCGGTTTTCTTTTACTGACTTTAAAGCTTATGTGATAGGCTTAGCGCGTAGCAGGGCGTCAATTTTTTAGGTCATCCATTCATGATCGGCCCAAGTAAAAGATGCTTAACAACCGTATCGCAGACCGAGCGTACTTACCACTACGCCATTGAGTTCCTCCAAACATAATACGTATTTTATATTTGCATTTTAAGTGCAAGTATTTCAAATAAGTCACATCTCGTAGGTAGGTAGTAGTGTTGCCAGGTCCAATTTATTATTAATCGGGACAGCGCGTGTATTTAATTGGGATTTGTGGTCGTAAATCGGGACAGACAAAAAAACAAGTACTTTTTTATAATTAAAGCATCATAAATAACAAGATTAACAGTAAAATAATATTAATTTACGTACATTTGACCTTGAAAGAAAGAACAGAAGTACAACAGCTTCTGTACTAATATAATCACATTGATCCGGAAAAAAACTGAAAATAAATTTTAGTAATTTTAAGGATTCACAAAGATGTTAATGCGTAAAAAAATTGTGAACTAATTCTACATAAGTTCACAAATAAAAAATATTATACGTATATGGTATATTTCAAAGGAAGGACAGAAGTATCAAATAGCTTATATACGAATATAATCATATTGACTGGAAAAAACTAAAAATACACATTTTACAAATTTTTGAGATTGACAAAAAAGTTATTGCGTTAAAAAATTGTGAACTTATTCTATATAATAATAATCAGACTTATTATTCTATAGAATTGGTTGATGATAGATTGACTTGTTCACAAATTAAAAATATTTATTGAAAGAAATGAAAATATCTTTATTCAAGTTGGCTATTACAAGCACTTTTGAATCGTCCAAAAAATGTTTTTCTCCTACGACTTGTTCAGGAAGTCTTTTAGCTAACAAGAAGAACAAGCGAAAGAAACCTACCAGCTCTTTATCATAAGTAATGACATTTACATAAATAATGCCACCACCATGTATCATTACAACAACAAATACAACTTTCAAAGTCTGTAGGACATAGATTGAACATATAATTACTCTTTATAGAACAAAGCGAAGGCTACTAATTCCATGCATTGCGATCCTTAAAATAATCATCAACTTTATAATAGCCTTTACTCATAAGTATGTTCTTTACATGAATTTTAAATTTATTTATGGGTAGAAGAACTACATTTTGTGGAACTTTATTGAACATAGCAATGCATTTACCCAGAAATGATCCTCTGGTTTTCTGAAGTCTGAAGCTTGGAACGGCAAGTTTATTTTTATTTCTTGTGTTAAGATTATGAACACCACTTTTTTTTTGTAAAGGAATCGTAATGTTTTCTTGCGTACATAATATTTTCATAGATGTATTGAGAGGCAACAGTCAAAATATTTATTTCTTTAAATATTTCTCTGAGAAACTCTCTAGACTAAAAATCTCTAGAATAAACATTTAACTCTAATTATATAGCTTAGATTTAACATTAATTAGCAATTTAGTATAATTAACTGATATCTTAATCTTGCTTATGACATATTAATAGGTACTAGTTTGGTAGCTTTATTGCTTTCAGACATAGATAAATATAGTTAGGGGCTTTTAAAAATGTATTTGATAGTATGAAAAAATTTATGAACAAATCGGGACGCATCCCCGGACCCCTGAAAATCGGGACGTCCTGCGTAAATCGGGACACCTGGCAACACTAGTAGGTAGTGGCCTCTAGAGCGCGTAAATCGGACACCTGGCAACACTAGTAGGTAGTGACCTCATTGCGCTTTGTTTGGGTCTTATCGGCCACTTCCTTAGCCACAAAATTACGTAACGCGTCGTCGGCAATTCACTTCACAAGTCAATCATAAAGTTATATGCCATACATGTATGTAGCATACATTAAACGCATACTTCATCAGTGCTACTAATAAACAAGGTTTAGCATCAGAGTAAGTTTATGCTAAAATTGCAATTTTAGTATTAGTTCAAATTCATATTACACTGATAATTTGCAAACCTACCTTCTAGGAGTAAATAATACTTCTGTAGAACCTCGTACTAGGTTAAACTTTGCTAAGTCTCCAATTAATAATATGAATTTTGACTAATAGTAAGTAAATTTACTCCAACGCTTAGCCTTGTTTATAAATAACACTGTACATAACTACGGCTTGTATAATTATGGAAATGAAACTATGTATATATAACTGAAACTATGTATATAATAAATAACTAATGTATTAACAACTTATTTTTAATAAAACATTCATAATATTCGTATAATTACATCAAACTTTATAGTTTGATCTAATTTTAATAAATAAATAAAGAGTAATTTCAAAAAATAAATATTTATTCATATATCATTCATTACAAAATGGCAGCTTGTTTCTCCAAATGCTACCGACTTATACATAATCTAAAAATTTGACGTTATTTAAAAAATATGCCTGGTTTTTGTTAACTTTGCTATAAGCATATTCAAAATAATTAAGCTTATTGAGAATACAAAATTCAAAATATATGTTATGTAGTACCTAAAAATAATTGTCATTCACCATGCTCCAATGAGTATTACCAGCTTTTAGTTAGTACCTGTACCATACTTACCCGTTACTTGATAGGTACTAGTTAGCTAATATAAAATATATCAATCGACTTTGTGTCTATGAAGCTCCAATTACCGTGGCAATTTATTTTTATGTTTCCACAGGAAACTGAGTATTGACCGAGATGATAAGTTAAATTATTGTAGACGAAGTTTTGGATTGCATTTACGTATTGAATGTATCTTGATCATTATTAGCTAAAATATAAAATCATTTAACATCTACTTCGTCACAAACAAAATTTTCAGCGCCCATGGCTTTTTGTATATCCGAGAAAGACTTCCCTTTCGTTTCTGGGATGAAAAATATTATAAATAAACAGAGTAGTAGACAGCTGGTGCCGAATGACCAGTACGTAGCTGCCGGCCCTATTGTCGACATGAGGGAGGCGAAGTATCTGGTGGTGATGAACATGGTTATCATATTTATCGTCATGCATATAGAGAGACCGAATGCTCTTGCTGAATTATCAAACAGTTCAGCTGTTAGCGCCCAAATCAAGGAACCAGGACCTGTAAAAGAAATATAATATATTCAGAGAAAGTTATTGTGAGCTTAAAATTTATTGCAAAATTTAAATTTAGAAAACGCCTTTCTGGATTTTTATTTACAGGTGTACAGCCATTCATCTAGTTCGTGTTTAGATGCAGCATGTTTCTGTTGATTCTGAAACCTATGCTTCTTTTCAGGTTAATTCTTTCTCATCTCTTCATCACGATTACGGTATGCGATCGTTAATCTGCAAATTCTAAGTAACGAACGCTTCTCGACTGGATTTATCCTACTTACATACCCTTTTTGACATAGTCAACTCTCGCTAGTTGCGCTATCTGTTTTAAGATTTTGCTGCTAAATTTTCCCAACGCTCCATTTACACTGTTCCCAGCACCCATTCTCCTTTCTATATCAGCGGTGTACTTTCCATCCAATCTTTAGTGCTATAGCAAATGGCGGTTCCGATTGACAGAAAAGAATGGGGCGACGAAAAAGTAACCTACCCCTAGTCTTCATACATTGGCTACCTACTTCTACTACTTCGATACTAAATAAACCCAATCCGCACGGGGCGAAGCAGGCCTGGCTGTATGTAACTCACGCCTTAATAATAATGTTGTTACTTACCCGCGCTGTAGCAAAAGACGATTAAAATAAGAGACATCAAAGGCAGAAAGTTCATGAAGCCAGTGATTGATTTGGTACTTGATGTGACGTAAAAGAAAGTGCCAAGTCCGATCTGAAAATCACAGAAATGTACAATGTAAATCATCTATATTTATAAAATAAAGTCTTTATCCTTATGGTGTCTAAACTATTGGAGTGAATTTTAAAATTATTGTTGGTTGAACAAACCAACACAGTGAATTGTAAAATTCTTAAATAATTTCATGTAGATACACATAGAATTGTTTACTATTGAAATAAAATAAAAAAAACTTTGTCCAGTTACTAACGAACGTTATATAAAACTGTTAAAATTCCAAGACTTTCAACTTTAATTTAATGGAATAGATACCAAAATCCATTACGGAAATTTGATTTTTAGTGGTATCTTGCCGTGTGTAGAATGTTTTTGAATAACTTAATACCTGTCAAATAGAATTCTCGCATAATTTAGTGATCAACAAGGAGTCTGTTCTTTTCGAGAAATGGAACTCTTAACAATATATTTGATTGGGGCTGCCAGATGGTCGGGATTGGATTGGACTGTTGCGACGAAATTTAAAATTCCGATGAATCTATATCCCGGGTCTTAGAAATCTTCTTCAGATACTTTAATGTGCCCTTCGGGCAACCCTATACATGATTCATTTCTAAATTTAAACATAAAAACTATAAAATAATAGAAGCGACTTCAAATTTAAAAAAAGTGATGAACAATACTTATTTCGGCGGTTATATATATTATGGCGGTTTATTATATCAATGATAGGCGCCTGATTTCAATAGCATTTCCTTGAATAGGTCACTTTTGAGATAAGTCCAGTAAAACCCGTTTAAGACGATTTCACAGGGACTCAACCAAAAACGCGTCTTAAGCGGAAAAGCGTTTTATGCAGGATACAGGGAAATAAAAAACGGACCTACTACATGCGTATGTATTAATATTTATTATGTTTTTTTGGATGTAGGTATTGAATTGTACATTTAAAAATTATGTACGTTATATAAAATGTCATGTATTACTATCACGTTATTTAAAATAATCACTTATTTTAGTTTGACAGAAAGATTACGAGGCATTAGCAATTACAATATTTTCAACGTAACTCAACTTTTGTAGTGCGATTCTAAGAAGTTTCATAGCGTCTTAAATCATTAACTGCGGATAATGCCTGGGCGTGTGTCAAAATCCAAGTTGACTCCTCTTCTTGATACTTAGAGCCTCTTCTTGTGTGTTATTCACACTCTCAATAAGGCGTATTAAAGAGGATGACGATCGTATTAAGCGTTAAAGAATGTATGAAAACATGTCTCAAGTTGCTAGGACTGATGCAAAATGGCGTATTATGCTAGAAATCGTATTAAGCGTGATCGTCTTAAACGAGTTCTACTGTATTATATTTCGTCGCTTCATTCTTCAGATATAATATTTACAACGTAGTCCCTTTTCTTACCAGGCAACCCTCGCACGCTTTAGAGATTTTTATTTTTTATTTTTTTTTGTCTACCTACTAGCTCCCGCTATTTGATGTGTCATTCTTTTTCTGTGCGAGGCAACGAGTGCACGCGCTCTCCGCTTAATATTGATAAATTTTACGACTGTTAATAATAATGCCGAAACGAAGTGCCGAGGAAAAAATGATGCGATATCGAAAGAAACGTCGTAAACTCGAAGAACAACAGAGTCGGAGTCGAGCTAGGCTCGTGATCTATTCATCGGAATCCGACGTAGATAATCATAATGCTGGTGAGTACCTCCATTTTATGATACAAATATCAGTGTTAAAAGTGTTAACGTGTATCGTTATTATGAATTCATGAAGTATCCTGGGGGTTGACCGTGAGTCAACACGATGGTATATAGCGGAAATATAAAATCTCTAGTATGGGATTCCGTAAATCGTACATTAACCTGGGGGTTGGCCGTGAGTCAGCACGACGGTATATAGCAGAAAAATTAATATTCTCGAAACGGGAACGTTATCTTTATTCTGCATAACATACATTAACCTGGGGGATAACCGAGAGTTATCATAATGGTAAAATAATACTTATACCAATAATATATACTTTTGGTATAGGTTATACTCGTATATATATGTAATAAAACTGGGGTTAGAAGATAATAAAAATGATAGTTAAAAATGAATTTTTAATAAATTTAATCACAACTACCTCCTAAATCAAAATATTTTTTTTTCTCTCTCTTGTTCATAGACCGAGACGATGATGAAGGGTTCGACACCACAGTATGTGAGAAAACGTGTGCAAACACTGAAAGTTTAGCAGAGCCATCGCTGGCCGCAGAAATGGTCACCGAATCTCAAACCCCAGAACTGGACCCCGAAATATTGTCAGCACTAGGCGAACCTAATAATGATATACCATTATTTGGCCCTCCAATACATGGGAATTTGGCACAGAGATGGGGTTCCATATTAAAAAAGGGCATCACAAAGGAAGTGAAAGATATTTACTCAAATTCATTACTCAAATCTTACCTTATTCCCGAAAATTGCCTATTGCTACACGCACCTAAATTAAATGCTGAGATATCTGCAGCAATTACTGATATGGCTCGGAACCGAGATAAGAAGATGGAAAGCAGCCAACAGCAGCTTGGCTGTGGTATCACAGCCATCAATAAGGGCTTGTCTCTTCTACTTACAGGAGATGACAAAATACAAACTATTAAATTACTTAGCGATGGTTGCCGTATTTTGACGGACCTCCATTACATGAACTCGCAGGCTCGTTCAAGACTTCTTACGCCTGTATTAGATAAGTCCTTTCTAAATATTATAAGAGATACTGAGAGAGACGATACCTTGTTCGGGTCAAAGCTCTCTGAGAAAATAAAGGCCTCAAAAGTCATTGAAAGACAAGGGTTGCAGATAAAAAAAACCGTGATGGCTCCAAAGATAATACAACCAATTCAGTCGACGGTAACTCGGCCCCGCTATCAGGAAAACTGGGCTGGCCCCTCGCGTCACCCCTACCCGTCGAACAGGGGGGGACGGGGGGGGCCCAAGAAGCCGAACTTTGCAAATCGCCGTCCTCCAGTACCACCTCAAAACAGGTCAGCGCACCCAAGCAAGCCACGTGCTGCTCAACAGTAAGCGAGGTACAAGTTCATGCTGGACGATTACATCACTTTTATAGTTGTTGGCTTAAAGTCACTAGTAACAAAACTATTTTAGATTGGATTCAATATGGTTTTCCAATACCGTTTATTGCAAAGCCTACACAAAGTTATTTACCCTTGATGGAACCATCGATAGTTGAAAAAGAAAACATGTCTATAGCTATAAATGATCTTTTGAAATTGGGGGCAATCAAACCTTGTTTATCCAAAAGTGACCAATTTCTATCAAGTATCTTCCTTACCCCGAAATCAAACGGGGATTACCGATTTATTCTTAATCTTAAATCGCTTAACAAATTCATACAAAAAATTCATTTTAAAATGGAAGATTTTAGAACTGCCTCAAAATTGATACCACTCAATGGGTTCATGGCCACGATTGATTTAAAGGAAGCTTATTTAGTTATTCCTATTGCCTCAAAAGACCGCAAATACTTGCGTTTTCAATACAAAAATGATCTATCTGAAGTAGTAACATACGAATTTTCCGCCATGCCGTATGGCTTATCGATTGCGCCCAGAACATTTACAAAGGTGATGAAAGAAGTAGTTTTATATCTCAGATGTCAAGGTTATAGTTCAGTACAGTACCTTGATGACATTTTATGTTTCGGCGATACTTATAATATGTGCCGTGAAAATGTAAAGGAAACTTTAAAAATTTTCGAATGTCTAGGCTTTGTTGTAAATTATAAGAAAAGTTCTTTAGAACCAAAACAAATTTGTAAATTTCTAGGATTTATTTATGATTCAGTAAATCTTACTTTATCATTACCTTCTGAGAAACGAAACAGTATCGCACAATTAGTTCGAAAATTCTCCTTGCTTTCGTCGTGTTCAATCAGACTTTGCTCAATTAATCGGTGTTCTTATTGCTGCTTGCCCTGCCATAAAATACGGATGGCTTTACACAAAGATTTTCGAAAGACATAAGTATTTATCTCTTAGATTGCATAACGATTACAATAGAAAAATTCAAATATCTAAAGAAATTTTAGATGATCTCCATTGGTGGAACCAAAATATTAGCACGACATTTACTTCTTTAAGATCACCAGAATTTAAATTAGAAATTTTCACGGACGCCTCAAGAACTGGCTGGGGCGCTTATTGTACTCGTAACAAGGCAAAAGTAAATGGAAGTTGGAAAATAGAGGAACTCGATTTTCATATTAATTACCTCGAACTACTAGCAGTTTTTTTAGCACTGAAATGCTTTGCTACTAACTCTTATAATTGTGCTATATTATTGCGTGTGGATAACACAACTGCTATAAGTTATATCAATAGGATGGGTGGAATACAATTTCCACATTTAAATACTTTAGCAAGACACATTTGGCAGTGGTGTGAGAAGCGAAAGATCTGGCTCTTTGCATCTTATGTTAATACAAAGGAAAACACTGAGGCAGATAAAGAGTCGAGGAAAATAAATCCTGATATAGAGTGGGAGTTAAGTGATTACGCTTTTCAATTAATAATTAATAAATTTGGATTTCCTGAGATTGATCTTTTCGCTTCCAGAACTAATACCAAATGTGAACGTTATGTATCATGGCAAAGAGACCCTGATGCCATAGCGATAGACGCATTTACAATCACTTGGTCGAAACTATATTTTTATGCATTCCCTCCATTTTCCTTAATTTTAAAATGTTTGCAAAAAATTAAAATTGAAAAGGCTATGGGAATATTCGTATTTCCCATTTGGCCATCGTAGGCCTGGTATCCGGATTTACAGAATATGATAATATCGGAAATATTAATTCTAAAGCCTAACAAATATCTTTTACATTCGTATTTCAGAGCACATCACCCACTTCACAAGAAGCTTACCCTGGGTGCTGCAGTGCTTTCCGGCTCGCATTCAGCCAGCGTGGCATACCTCCCGACGCTCTCGACTTAATGTTAGCTTCATTAGCAAAAAATACTATTAAACAATATGATGTAACATTAAAGCTTTGGTGGACATTTTGCCAAAACAATGATATTCAAGTACTTAATACCTCAATTCTGCACATAATATCTTTTCTCACTGAACAATTTCACAAAGGGTCATCCTATGGTTCACTTAATTCACATCGTTCTGCCCTCTCGTTACTTCTAGGAAATAACATTGGATCAGACGATTCTATTAAAAGATTACTGAAAGGGGCATTTAAAGTAATGTGTTCCTAAATATACTAGCACATGGGATCCCCAAAAAGTTCTCAATACTGTTTCAGACTGGTTTCCCAATAGAGAACTTTCAATCGAAAGATCACAAAAAAATTAGTAATTTTACTTGCTTTATGCACAGCCCATAGGGTGCAAACCCTCTCGTTACTTAAAACGTCTAATATTTCTATATGTAGTAATGGGGCTGAAATAGTGATAACAGATATTATTAAAACATCAGCCCCGGGTCGGAACCTACCAATACTATTTCTCCCTTACTTTAAAAATCAAATCAGTATCTGCCCAGCCACGACTTTAGAAGACTATCTTTTTGTAACAAATTCTTACAGAACCGAATCTATGTCTAGATTGTTTTTGACGTTTCGACGTCCATATAAATGTGCCAGTTCACAGTCACTAAGCCGCTGGATTAAAGATATGCTTGCTCTTAGCGCAGTAGACGTTGCGGTGTTCAGCGCACATAGCACGCGGCACGCCAATTGCAATTCGGCAATTTGGCGGGGGTTTCAATTGAAAATATCAGAAAGCGAGCGGGCTGGACAGACACCTCGCAAACATTTGCGAAATTTTATAATCGCCCTATTAACATTGATGATGAGTTCGCCCGATCAGTGTTTTTTCGCGATTAATTTCTATGGGTTGATTATTCTATCTAATTATGTATAATTATAAAATATTATATACGCACTAATAATAGGAGTTAGAAGTTACCTTCATTTTTGTTGTTTATTGAAAGCAAATATTTTTTGTAATCAGAAATACGTAGTTGATATACAAAATAAATATTTTTGATAAAGATATTTGTTCATTATTCATTACAAAGCAAAACTTATCTCTAAACATCTACGTTGTAAATATTATATCTGAAGAATGAAGCGACGAAATATAATATATGATCAAACGAACTTCCTTGGGTGAAGTTCGATCAATATTATATGAGTCGCTTCATTCGAAGATATAAGCAACCCACCCACCCTTATCCCTGAAAAGAACTCAAGAAGTTTCACTTTGAAATTTTTCTCTAAAAAGAATGACACATCAAATAGCGGGAGCTAGTAGGTAGACAAAAAAAAAAAAAAAAAAAAAATCTCTAAAGCGTGCGAGGGTTGCCTGGTAAGAAAAGGGACTACGTTGTAAATATTATATCTTCGAATGAAGCGACTCATATAATATTGATCGAACTTCACCCAAGGAAGTTCGTTTGATCATATATTATTTATAACTTTTTAAAATTATGAAGTCCGTTCTATTTTTATTACTTTTTATTTCATTCTTTTTAGTGATATTTATATATTTTATTTATTAAGCGGCTTCGCCCGCGTGGTCCGTAGGGAACTGTTTATTTTCATATCGATTAATATCGTGACACGGATATAATAATAATGACAAATTGAATAGTAAACAATGGTTACTGTGGTAACGTTTTCATTCACTATACAAACTTCTACTTCCATTTTTATCCTTTATTTACTGCTTTTCGGGATAAAATATAGCCTGTTGACTATTGTCACCTGATTGCTAACCGCATATGATGTAGCAGCAGTAGGTGATTTTTTTAAAAATCGATCCAGTTGTTTCGGATCATATCCTTTGCAAAAAACAAACAAATTTTATCTCTTTATAATATTAGTATAGATATAATGCTACAAAAAAAAAATCAACGTAGAGAAAGTCTTAGAAAAGGAGATTTTGTTTATTCGCTTGAAATTTTTTTTTTAGATTCTATACTCATATTATATAGAGAAGAGATTTGACTGCTTTTATTTGCATTGGATAGGCTTCCAAACTATTGGACCGATCTATGGGAAGCTATATAATCCGCGTTGGACATAGGCTCTAATCTTCGCAGGCGAAGTAGCGGGGAATCAGCTAGTGTGATAAAAATTGGTCACATTCAAGAAGAAATCGATTGACATACATACTTTCAAGAAAATATACCTCTACATAGTCCTTAAACATAGAACATTAATTCAAAATACGCACTTTTTTATTTTAAGTGAGATACATGAAATGTAATTAATTAGCATCTAATTATAAAAGGTAAAAAGCGTATTCTGTTTGTTATAAAAGGAAAATCACTGATTCGACTTCATCTTCATTCGATAAAATTTAAATGGTACTGCAACGGTCCATTAAGTTGTCGAATAAAATAAGAATTTTGAAAATCGATCAATAATGGCTGAAATATTTAAAAATGAACATAGAATAAAAAAAAAACATACATCGCCGTTTTGAAATAGGTTAAAATACCGCAACACTTACCATTCCCACCATCTGCCCGAGCAAACAAGTCGAAAAAATAGGTTTTCTTCCAAACTTGTCTGATATAGATGTCGTGATAACACTCGCAGTGAGCTGTATACAGCCAATGATAACTGAAGCTATTTCTGGTTGTATGCTAGTCTGCGTAGATTCGAGAATTGTTTGTAGATAGAAGGAAACAGCGTTGAAGCCTATAAACTGAACACCAACGAAGAGGATAGTGACGAAAGTAAAGGATTTTAAGAATAATCTGTTTTTGAAGAGTTGCAGTTTATTGACATCTTCCACTTTCTTCTCTAAGGCGTACTCTTTGAGTTCCAAGTTTGCAGCTGATTCGGAACCACGCAAAAATTCGAGTATTGCCAGGGCTTCAGCGGTGCGTCCTAAAAATAAAATTGAATGCCATAATATTTAAAAATAATGAATGACTTGCTCTAACTCTTGGATTACGAATCTATGTAAGAGTTTCTCAGTGATTGATGCTTGATGAATCATCAAACCATCTTATCTGTACAAAACCGATACCAAGAAAACTGACTGGCTTTGTGGTTGTTTAAATATTCTCTTTTAGCCGTATCAAAAAGCTATCAATCAGGGATTAACTAGTAGCAGCGATCGATCATTAACTTACCCTTCGAATACAAGAAATACGGGCTGTCCGGTAGAAATATCAAGGGCACGGCGCTAACCAGTACCGCAGCGGTGAGGAGAATATTTACAGCCAAATAAGAGATGAAAGGTCCCACGCTCAGCATCACTACTATCCCTAAGGAGCACATGATCTGGAGTATTGTACCTAAAGAGCCCCTTACATCTGTCTGCAAAACAGATTATAATTATGAAGACATCTTTACAAATATTGGTTGAATAAAGGCTATACCAAGATATTATATCGAAGTTTTACGATTTTGTAAATCTAAAAACAATATTAGATACTTTAACAACTAGATAAACGGTAACTGTAAGGAATTAAATCAAAGCAGAGGTTTTACTGTGCCATTAGTAAATTCATATGCGAATTTATTTTCGAAATAATATTTAATTTTCCATTTAATAAGCTTTCTCAACAAACGGGCCGAAGGGTGAGTCGGACTCGCGCTTGAAGGATTCCGTACCATTAACTATAAAACGACACAAAAAGTACGTTTGTTGTTTTCAATGGAGTTAATTGAAATTTTCGATTAATACTCGTGAACACATAAAGCCAAACTCAGTGTGATGTTTTCTTTACGTAAGGGTACTACTGATTTCGATTTCTAATGACAGACCGATCAGACAGACGCCGCGGTGGAAAAGCTATAAAGGTTGACTACGAAAGCGACCATAACTTTGGAATTTACAAGAGTTTTAACCTTTGTCTTGTATGTAGATACACTTTAAATATTGATTAAGACAGAATAACTTTAGGTATAACGTAATTAATACTTTTAGATTTTAGAGACAGTATCCAATAATAATCCACAGACAGTCATGTGTGTTTTCAGCGTACGTTAAGAAAAGTAGACAAATTAAAAACTCACACTAGCAATTTCCGAGGCGTACATTGGCACGACAATGAATATGAAAGCATCTGACATCCCATTAAGTGCTCTGCCCAGGAATACCATCCAGATTTTAGTAGCGAACACCAAGAATAGTGCTGACACGATTTTTGGGATGATTCCGATGAGTATGCAGTACTTGCGTCCGATGCGATCGAGTATGAGAGCCGGTATGAAGTTGCCTGAAGGAAAAAGGAATAAATTATTAAATTGGGCCCTTGCCCTACACTGCAATGCCATTACATGTACGCAGTTTAGGTACACGACAAAACCATTTACAAAGACGGAACGACTTTTAAACGGTTTCATCGCGTTTGTATTTAATTTTATTGACGTTTCGGACCCTTTACAGGTTCCGTGTTCACATAAGACCACTTACAAGATTAATTTCTGTACTACACATATTGCGGCTCGCATTTACAGTCGTGTAAACAAGAATATGTGTTACACTTTTTACACCTACTGACTTGCGTTTTATCGCAGCGCGGTGTTAATCTACAGGAGTTGCAAACATCATTGAAGATGAGCTAGTACTAGCGTAGGTACTAGTTGTGCTCGCTCAAAGCGAATTCGCTTTCGAATTCGAGTTCGGATTTTTACGGAATCGCTCTGCTGATGATCACTTGTTTTTTGCTGATCACATTCGAATTCTGTACATAACAAAATATTGCTGCAATAAACATAAATTCGTTATTGAACGGACAATGGATTGATGTACAATAAGACATCGGCCAGTGATGGCAGATTACAATTTTAAAATTTATCACATTCCCATCAAATTTGAAAGATAATCACGAACCTTACGCTATAACTATTTGTCATGTGATGGCGATTGCAATCTTGATTTTTTTGAGAGATATTGACGTTAATGGGAACTGTCTAAGCAAGCCTAAGAAGTGATAGTTACAAATATCTTTGAGAGCTGCAGTACAGTAAATCAATTCCGATAAATGATAACTCACAGAATACTGCAGTGAGAAACCCGATGGACACTATCCATGATCCCTCCTCCTCGGTGATGGGTTTATCTAGTACCGGATTGTCGACGTCTCTCAACTTCACGAGGATTGGAGAAGGCCACGATAAGCCCAGGCCACAGCTAAACAAGCTCAGGTTCACTAGAATAGATCGAAAGACAAAAAATTAATAATGAAGTGAATGAAATTATATAGGTAATCCTTTTTCGTGAGTAAATCCTTTTTTTGTGATTAAATTATTATCATTATCAGCCTATTATTGTAGCCTTTCCTATGGGTGGATTAGACCGGGTCTTGCGAAAGTTGCTCAGTTTTCACATCGCACACCGACCTGCCACATCGAGCTTTTCCATGTATACAGAATAATATCTCCACCAATAGATAGATTAGGTATTACCTTCGCGTCAAACGACATGACATGCATTCAGTAATTATACTAAACTTATTAAATTGTGATTTGGACGGCGTAATAGATAGCCGCACGTAGTTATGGCTCATTTACACTAGTCGAGAGAGTTCGCATGCGGAATGTGGATAATTTTGCCAAACGTTATTTTGTTAATCGATAAACCAAATGGCGGTCAATAAGGATCAATAAATATGAGTCACAGAAATATCCCGTACTCCGCAAATTTTCACAGCATAACATTGAGCTGAGCATTGTCACAGCATAGAACTTTAATGAAGTAAAACTTTTACTACCTTTTAAAGTAGGTTTTATTTAATTGAACCTCTATGCTATGACAGCGCAGCGCATGAAAACTTGTTCGACGCTGTTTTTATAATATAGCACTGAAGTATATGGAAGGATATTGGTGTGACGATAAAATGCTTTGCCTAATGAAATAGGAAATAATCATAATCGATGAAATGTTATCAAAAATGATATATCCTAATCCTAATCGGGTCATACTAAGCAGAGGCCTTACATTTTTTTATTTTCTCCTATGGAATATTTTGTTACTTTGTATTTTATGCCAAATAAACGCTTTCTCTTCTATTCTATATAGGTACTAAAACACTGAAATACCTACCTATAAAACTTTGATTTACCAATATACATTTTTATAAGATTGTTGACATACGCAACATAGTTATTTTATTATGTTGATAGTTGATTAAATCGTCTAATCATTATTATTAAAGAAACAATTGTAGAAAACACCTTCACTGTTGTTTTTTATTTATTTTTAAATGCTAGGACAATGTCGGTAAATGTTCGAATCGATTATTTGACTGACATTATATTTATAATCCAACTAAACTAAAATCACCAATTTCCTAAAAGTGTATAGATATAACACCTTTTTATTAGTTGTTCTTTTTCAGCGTGGATATTCCATATGAATGACTACAATAATTAAAAATCAAGGCGATTATGAAAAAGTCCAAATACCTGAATAATATGCTAATTAGGCAAAAACGTGATTGAGGACTTTCTTAAAATATGAGATAGAAAATCTTACGACGTTACCTCCAAGTAACGCTTTACATGTAGATTACACCAGAGGGGCTACACTTTTTGTCTGCGAATGAAAATTACAGAAATTTCAAATCGTTCTTATAATTAAAAAAAAAAAAATCATATGCGTCAATATTACCTGTGCATCAGCAGCAGTTTCAGGGTCCTACCTCTGTTTCATTATCAATTATCGAAAATGTGTTCCTTCAGAGTCGTATTAGGGTTTCGAGAACAGACGATTTTTCGTTTATCTAATCTATCTAATCTAATCGATGGTTTTTGTTTCTGATTTTAGTTTTTACTAATCTATCGATAGGACTTTTTGCCTTGTGAAACGTAAAAACCTTGACTTATTACGAATAATCACTCGAGATTTGCCAATTTTCTCGATTCAGTTTCAGTAGTCTTATTGATACTTAAGAAATGATAAACTGATGTGTGAGTAGCTCACACACATACAGCCGCAGTTTGTAATTGAGAATAACTTATCTAATCCGTCTGATTAGTTTATTGATTTCCTTGTGTTATTATTTTTGTTTTTTTTTTCTATGGGATAGGGGCCAGACGAACATACGGATCTCCTGATGGTAAGTGATTACCTTCGCCCAGACACCTGTAACACCAGAGGGGCTACAAGCGGTGCTGCTGGCCTTTGAGGGACGAATATGCTCTACGCTATATGTTATCTATTTTTTTGCCAATATCATAATATTTATCAATAAATAATAAATTAGAACAGAATAGACTATTTATTAAACTGATAACATATCAAATGAAATTTCTTGAATTCGTGAATTGCCTTTTTTGGACTCGAATCGTTCGAAATTCGGGCGACTGCTCTAACCATTGAGCTACCCTAAATCTAAGCATTGATGAAAATACGCTCATTAGCAGTGTAAAGTGACAAGTGCTTGAAAAATTCATCAGTCCTGTTGGGTCTAGGGTAGTTAGAGCAGTCGCCCGTATAGAAGAAGATTGTAGGTTTGAGTCCCATGTCAGAGCACTTAAGGCGGATGATTTTTTTAATCATCAATAATTTTTTTTAACTTTCCAAAAGTACTACCATAAAACTCAATACTACTCGGAAACAATACATAAGTCTATGAATATAATTCAGCACTCACATTATATCCGTGTAATTGTTTGTTTTTATGATTTCATACCGAAAGTGTAAAGGTTTTTTTAAAAGTACGGAAACCGAATACATTAAATACTAAAACAACAATATATTTCAAAAAAGAGCCTCGAGAGCTGTCATGGATTTCTTGAATGAAGGTCACCGGTCAGCGACTTCCCACAAAAACTTTTAATTTAAGCGGAAGTTTATATTATATTATAGTTTATATTATATCCTCTTTCGATTACATTCAAGAAATTTATAGTATATTACAGTCATTTATTATTGATTTTCGCCTGTTATTCGGAACAAAAATATTTTGTGTCTATATAGCACTCGCGGATTATAATTGAACAAGTTCTACAATTTAGTAGCTACTGACGGCCCATTTCCTACGCACAAACCCTGTTCATTATAAAGTACGTTATTCAATGCATATTATTGTGATTAAATAATTATTTTATGTGATAGCCTCATGTGATGGACAGGAATTTGTTGTAGAAAATGTATAACACTTTTGACCATAAATAAATAGAATTAGCATTAAATCTTATTAGGTACGAGACTAAGTTCTTTACACGTTTTGAATACTTGGAGGCTCCGTGGTCACTCATTTTGTTTCGTGGCTCCAGAGTAGCATACTCTTTCACTGGTATCTATAGTCAAGTAGAATTACTTGAGTATTAAGTTTAGCATTTTTTTAACCAATAGATGAGCATTTGATTTAAATAAGAACTATCAATGGCTAATAATAATAGCATTCCAAATTTTGAGAGCTCTTTCTTCATTCAAATTCTAGTTTATTACTTATACGCAAGTAATTTCCTTCTACTCGATGACTGTCATTTATTTATCTCCATTAAAGGTCGTTTGATAGAGATTGCTATAAGCGATAAGATACACTGTAATATTAATATTCGTGTAATTTTTTTGTATCCGTGTTGATAATAAAAATCATTCTAATCCTATTATATTTAATACCTTTTAAGTAGTTAAGCGAATACCGCTATTCCACTTAATATTATTTTTTATCAATATAGTACTATACATATAATAATTCCTATATGAATCTACTTTTAACCGGTAAATCATGTGTGTAAAATATAGGGTTGCCAGATTTTTTTCAGCTTTTAAGACACAAATGCTACAATAGGGGAAAATACGCGATTTCCATATTTTAACCGGGATAAATAAAAAAAATTACTAATATATTTTATATTTTTCAGATGAACACATTTGTTCGATTAATGCGTTTATAATGCGCGTATGATTAGACTTATTTAAAAAAAAAACAATACGTTATAAATAGTTTTAAAATGAATATTAATTCCCTTTTTATTCCACCCATTTTAACACCATTTATGAAATTGAATTGATATACGGGACAGAGTCGGATTCATAGTAACATATCATAAAATACTTTTAAAACATAACACTTTTTGGACGCATAGAACTACCCAGGACTTATTAGTATTTAGAAGCACTTGTTACTTTTCATTACTACTAAGCGTATTTTCATAAATGTTCAGGCAATTCACCCAAACAAACGAAATTTTTTTTTTCAAATATTAACATTATTATTTTACATTATTAACATTAATATTAAAATAAAAACTAAAAAGAAAAAAACATTCCCAGTAGTTAAGAATTCTGTTAAGTAATACTAAATACTGAATTTTAAACTACTGGGCTTGTTTTTTTCTTTTTAGTTTTTATTTAAGTTAATTTTTTCATGTATTTTTAAAATTTGATTTTACGCATTCGGGATTTTTGTTTATCTTTAAATAATTTTTTTTTATACTTTTTTGTTTGTATATCGTTTATACTTTAAATAAAAACTTAAATCAATAAGTAAGAAAATTATCGAATATGATTGTTTTCTTAAACAACTTTAAATCGTAGTATATCCTAAACTATTATTTAAAATGAAAAGTGATAAAAGGAACCTGAAGATGATTTTAAAATACCTATTGAACCACACCCCACTTGTCATAGTCCGTCGATTTTTTTTCATTTTGACAATATGGCGTCTGGTTGTCGCTGTGGTGAATTTTGATTACTGTCATGTCTTTAGTGACACTCGCAAGGTTAAGACGAATCGATTGACGTAAGAATCATCAAAATCGGCCGACGCATTTGGTCTCTAGAACGCCACAGAAAAACAAACATACATACATACATACATAGACTGATAAACACATTACCCTCCTTTGCGTCGCGCATTCGGGTAAAAAGGAAAACTTGTTCTAATCTAAATATATATAACTCAAAGGTGACTGACATAGTGATCTATCAACGCACAGCCCAAACCACTGGACGGATCGGGCTGAAATTTGGCATGCGTGTAGATGTTATGACGTAGGCATCCGCTAAGAAAGGATTTTGATAAATTCAACCTCTAAGTGGATAAAATAGGGGATGAAACTTTGTCAATTTTTAACCGCTCTGGCTGAGATTTTGCATGCACAAAGCTTCTATGACGTAGGCATCCACTAAGAAAGGATTTGATAAATCAACCCCTAAGGGGATAAAATAGGGGATGAAAGTTTGTATGAAACATTGTCATTTTTAAAGCGATCGGGCTGAGACTGCGTGCATAAAGCTACTATGACATAGGAATCCACTAAGAAAGTATTTTGATATTTTCCACCCCTTAGGGGATAAAATAGGTGATGAAAGTTTGTATAAATCTTCTTAGATTTTCGACTGATTGAACTGAAATTAAAGATTGGAGCTACTATGATGAAGACGTCGCTTAAATTGGGTTTGATAAATTTTTCACAAAGTAACTTTACCACGCGGACGAAGTCGCGGGCAAAAGCTAGTTATATTATATTTCATCAATTTTGTATTAACAATGCTATACTAGGAATTATTTTTAAAGAAAAATGCTTAAAAAATCTCATCCCAGATTAAAAATTGATCAAATATATTAGATTGATCAAGTATATGAGATAAATCGTTGTCTTAATGCGATGCTTAAATAATATACCTTCTTTGAATAGATTATAGCACCTTTATTAACTATATCTTTAGTGGCCACTTCACGTTCATAAATAAATACTTGAATATCAATGTCATGCTATTTGTCTATATGAAACTATAGAAAGTTGTTTTGGAATTAAGTTTGAGTTTGAAACTATAGAAACTTACGAATCCATCTACAGGTTTAGGTTAGGTTAGGTAGAATTTCAATATTTGAATTGAAATCATCATAAGAAAAACACCACTATACCTCTGAATAAAAAAAGTTGTATATTTAAGAAGCAACTACTAAAAAAGTGGCTGTATGGATGTTTCAAAAGCAGTAAAATAATTAAAATTAGTATAAGAATGACGTTTAAGACTGACGGGGAATACGCCGCGTTTCCGAGTGCTACCCCCAAACGAAGGTATGCCCAGGAGTTTTAGTGAGTAGGCCTCTGTCTTCAGCGATGGAGAGTCTAGCGGTGAACACACCCCCTGCTGCCCCGTCAGGCGGCAC